TACACCTATGCAATAATTATTCCCTAGTCCTTAATAATGTCTTCATAAGGAATGATCCCTATTAAATATAATAATAGGGCATAATATTCAATTAGAGTGATGGAGAATTTGAAGTCTTAAGCCAGTCATTTAAGAAGCAGAGATGCACCAATCCTTATAGCCATTACCAAAAATAATAATCCTTTATATAATAAACGTGTCACAAACATTGTGTCACATTTTGTGAAAAAGTGAAACAATACCAAGAGTAGGAATCAAACTCGCGACTAAATTAGATATTTGAACATTTGTTGCAGCAGCTTAACGCTATACGGGTTTTTATGAAATATGTATTTTTCTATCTATTTATTTTCCATTAACTAACTTTGTATTACAATTTTTAAAAAATAGGAAAGGAAAATATTTTCTACAAATGTATGTTTTAAATCATTTCCCTACCTTTCATATAAAAATTTGAATTTTCCTTTATTAAATTTAAAAATTACAAAATAAAATATTTCTGATATTTATAAAATATATATAGCATAATTGACACTTTTTAGATGCTTTAAAAATATTTGCAAGAATAGCATAACTTTTTAAATAATATATATAATAAATATTTACCCTCCATATTTACAAAGGTTATAATAAGCATTTTATTATTAAATATTTTATAGTATAATATCTATTATCAAACTAGGAAATGAAAATATGTGCTATAAATGTATGTTTTAAACAGGGTTGTGCGACCGATATTTGACCGGTCAAATATCGTCAAATTCAAATATTTTACACCAATATTAACTTTATTTTGCATTTATATAATATTATAATAAATCTATGTATAATAATAAATATCATAATATTTTTTAATTCATTCTATAGTCAATGTTTCACCCTCCATGGCAGAGTCTTGTTCCGATTCATATTCAATATCATTATTTTCTTTAATATTTTTAATCAATCTTAAATTATGATACACTCTTACTAATTTTCCTGCTGTAGAAGCCTTTAATCTATTTCTGTTTTTCGTGTGAATATTGCCCCAAACCGACCAATTTCTTTCAGAAGAAGAAGTCGAACTAGGAAATGTTAGTAAAATATTAGCGACTTCTCTTAATGGGCAAGGTGGGCAAAATGCATTCCACCAACTTGAGGCCGAAATTTGATTGTTTCTTATGGAAATTACAACTTTCCACATATTATGGCTATTAAATATACCGCCTTTGCTTCTGAAATTTACTATATTACTCAAAATATTTTGATTATCACCACCTTGTAAAATACCCAATTCTGTATTATATTACATGCTTCATCAAATTCAGTATTAGTAAGATGCTCCCCTTGATATTGGGGGTCCAATAAATAAGCAGCATTGTGAGCACATGTATTTAGATCAGTTTTTCTCTTTTCAAACATAACCTTAATTTTTTTTTCTTGAGATGGAGAAAATATAGAATCATGGCATGATTGTATTATGTGTTTTTCCAAATTAAGCATCTCGTTTTTTACTTGGGCCAAAGTACATTTATCCCCTTGCACTTTCAACAATGAGGTAGCTAAAGGTTGGAGTATAGCTAAAAATTTTAAATTTTTCGTCCAAAATTCTTCGTTTAATATATTATTGGTAATTTCGATGGGACAAATATCACAAACAGCTTCTTCAACAACTGATGCTTTTAGAGCTTTCTTGCATATTTGAATTTGCTCCATACATTTTATTGACGATGCCCATCTTGTTTGGCTAATTGTACTTAATGTAGATGGTATGCCATGAAGATTCTTATTACGGGAAAATACTGCAGCTGGTATGTGTTTATTCTTGAAAAATTTAACAATTTTTTTAATTATTGAAATATGGTCACTGAAGGCGTTCAATCGTTCAAAATCGTGAAAGAATAACTGCAATGTATGCGCTGCACAACCATAACATTGTATATGATTATAAATAGATTCAGATTTTAGAATTCTCCAGGCTGCTTTCATGTTAGCGGCATTATCAGTAACTAAAGAATATACTTTTACCGGATTCAATTCATGAATTACATTTTTAAATTGCCGTATGGCGATTTTCCTCAGTATTTAGAAATTTGTAGAACACTGGAACAGGCGTCATCACCATAAAATTAATAATACTCTCGTTTCTAATGTTGCTCCAGCCATCTGATACAATTGATAAGTAAGGAGCTTTATCTATTATATCTGCAACTCTCACCTCCATATCACCTGACGCTTTGTCTAGAAGATATCCAGCCAGCTGCCTTCTCCTGGGTAATGTGTAAATAGGACGTATTTTTTAAAAAAATTCTTGGATGTAGGGATTTTCAGTGATGTGAAAAGGTAAATTGCTCGCATATACAGCCTTTGCAAACAATTGATCCAGCTCATTTTTTTCTTTGGGATTAATTCTATCTATGAAACCGGTTATACAAGATTGAGATTTATATTTAATCGCCTTGCTTGTAGATTGATTAGAAATAATGGAATCAAATTCTCCTGAGTCACAAGACAAAATATTGTTCATTTGATAATCATTCTCACTAATTTCACCCAATTCTTCATTAGAGTTAGACTTAGAAGTATTACAAATTTGTAGAGGTTGATATTTTGGAATTTGAATAAAAGTTTTCCTTATTTATAACAGGGCACATAGTACAGCTGCTTAATAAATGTTTGACCATTCTATCAACGTGGGTGATATAGGACATCTTGCAAAACTTGCACACCGCTTTAACTGATTTACCATCGCGTACTTCTTGAAAATCCAAAGATGATGCTTTGGTTTGACCATAATCCCTAATATATTAAAATTTAACAAAAAATGATTTTGATTATTGTAAAGTTAATCAATCTTAACTATTTTATAATTATCGACCAATTTTTCCAATAATTTCTTAATATTATAAATATAATATAATATATATAACTTTTTACCAGAATTGAATAATATTCCGTAAATCTGACCAGAAAAATTAAAATGAAAATTAATTTTAAAAACCAAATATAGCAAGTGTAAGTAAAACAAATGAGAATTAATATAATTTATACTCGGCTAAATATTAAATAAAATTTAAATTTATTAAAAAATAAGAATGAAAAAATTATATTATGATTATAATAAATCGGGTATTTTTATTTTTTTTAAGAAAAATGAATTGAAAAAAATAAAGAAGGCGAGAAACGGCAATGATTAAGCAAAAAAATAACTAAATATATTACTATATTTATATTTTAACAATAAAAAAATTCTTTTATTTTTAACAATTCATGATACAAATAATTTTTTAAATAATTGTAACCTAATAAGATTGATAAACATGCTTTTAATGCATACTAGTTAATTATATCAAAATATTTATTCGCCATTAATATTTTAGAGTATTTGACCAGTCAAATACTCCTCCGGTGAATTGACTGACCGGTCAATTGACCGACATGCCAACCCTGGTTTTAAAGCATCTCTCTACCTTCAAATAAAAACTCTAATTTGATAATCCATTATGGAAATTATAAAGATTATTCTTTATTAAGACTCATTCTATTAAAATATTATAAAAAATGTTCATTTAGTATTATGGTTTATATCTAGAAGAAGTAGGTATTCATTGCTGAATGCGATATGAGAACTTGAAAGCTGTATGAGAGAATGCATATAGGACAAGACCTAATTATATATTATTTGTTTATATTGAAGGTACTAAATATATACCTTATCATATTTTTAAAAAATATAACGAAAGATTCCGAATTCATCTCTCATCAAAATAAAAGTAAATTTGTGATTCACTCATTATAGATGGAATAGCGAAATGTCGGCTCAATCATCAGGCGCCACCCGGAGAAAATCAGTTAACATGAAGGTATATTAATTTATTTTAATTCCTTCAAAATTTCATCTGCTATCTAAGAAAAACCCCGAGGAAAGTGATGGTTTTCGGCTAAAAACTGCTTAAAATATTGTATTGCTCAACTATACTCCTCATAAAATTTCTGATATGGCCAGGTATGGGCCTAATATTATATTTCACAGGCCTTTTAAAATAAATGTAGGCCGAGTTTGGGCCTAAAATTTTTTAATTTAAATTTAGCTTCTTTCTAATAAAATTTAGTATTGTAAACATAATGATTGCCTACACTGAAATATTGTTTATTTTCATTTAATAAAATAAATTTTTTATATGGGATTCTTTAAAACTTGTTATGGGGCGGTAAGGGCCTATAATTTTTTTTAGTGCGAGCCACGGGTCTAGGCTAGACTAGACCAAAAAATAAAAAAATATAGGCCCACGAAGGTCCCTGCTTCACCCATGAACAAATAAAGATGAAAATTCTGATTTAATAGTCATTCTTGACGGGCTATCTACTCATGTAGTATATATTAGAGACCTGCAGCGGTAACATTCGCACAGCCCAGCACAGATTTTTTTTTGACCTGGCCCGGGTTTTATATTTTCAGGCCCGTTCCAGATTTAAAAAAAATATATTATATTTATTTTTGATTTTTATAGGTATTAATGGTGATTTAAAATATTTGATTTTAAAATATATGGCCCAGCTGGGTACCCGGACCTATAGGTCTCTGATATATATATATACAAAAAAATAAAAATACATTTCTTCAATATCAAGTATGCATATTTATACCATTATCAGTTTCGGGCCTATAATCAAGGTAACGACAGATCAGTTTAGAATTTTTTAAATTAAATTTATAGCATTAATAAAAAATTTATATGAAGATTAATTACACTTTGAGTATCAGCCATTTATTGGTCGATATCAATCTCTGAAGGGGATTTTTTTGATTCTATAAGTCCAAGTATGCCCGATTTTCTTTTGGATTTTGAAGGCCCGAAACTGATACAAATTTTAAAATTTCTCAAGGCCGAATTTTGTCGGATTTCAATAAGCAATTTTACTTTGACAAGTCCTGATTTTTGGCATATGGCACTTCAAAAATTACCTCTATTATATTAAATATTATGTTCGAATATTTTAAGAAAGGATTAAATAATAACTTGGTGAATGCGTCGTTGCCCACATCTAATCCAGTCGGCAAGATTTTAATTTTACGCTTACGCATAACGTAGTCGATGACCAGTTCGTTCTCGTCCACCTTTAAAAAGTAGAGAATAATTATAAATATAATCCATATATATTAGGACCGGTTTAAAGGTTCAAACCGAGCCGATATTCCTATTTTTTATGATCGGAACCTGAAGATTTTTACTTATATGTTACGGTACTCTTATGAAAAGTTGGATATCTTTTAATTTAACCTCAAAATTCAAAAAAAAAATCGAAGAATTTCGTTATAAATGCTAAGCGAACCTAGCTAGTGTTGTTAAATGTTTCGATTTTGTCAATTTGAATTTACGATTTTAGCCAATATGCAAGCCTCGAGATTTCGTTAATAGATGCCCAAAACTTTCTACCCTCTATGAGCAAAATGCCCAGGCTTGCATAATAATTTAGGCGAAAATATTGAACTAGTCGTTTTTAAAAATCGAGACGTTTAACAACACTATATAGCACATTAATACCTTCAAGCGACCAACTTTTACTGAATTTACCTTATCCTTTATAAATAAATTATCAATAATAATCCATTGGTTTTTATAAAATAATGTTAATACTTTTGTTAAAAATAAAATTCTTTTTTTTTATTGTCCCCTCCCGCTTTATTTATTTTTATTTTTATAATATAAACATAAGGTACATAAAACAAAACCATTTTTTCTTTATCTATAGATTTTATATTATAATGAAGTATTAAGATAAAAAATCCATGGGGATTCGGAAATCACATTTTAATATCATTTACTGAGGGAGATTTTTAATTTAAAAAAATCTGATTTGACCGGAAATGTATTCCATCATAAGTAGAATACCTACCCTATAAATTCCGTACAATTTTGGCCATAGTTATTTTAAATTTATATAAAAAATCTATTAAAAAACGGATATAAATTAAAAACATTTCAACAATTCCAGATAAAACAATCTGAAATTCAGAAAGATTTTTCAGATTTAAAAATCGGTTTCAATAAATTATTCAAAATTGAAAGATTCCGAATCCCAATCAATCCATATCCTAATATACATCAATATATGGTTTAACCATTTTTTTTAAATTTTAGGAGCTAAATTGTCATATTTATACATTATAAACATTTAGCATTAATATGTGTTTTCTTTAGATCCATTTTTTTAGAAGAAAAAAATTCCTGTAAGATGGAAATTTATTTCATCTATATCTTCTGTACCTGTAAATCACATGATATGTTCTGCTATAGTTTTTATGAAAAGTTTTATAATTAGAATTTAAAAAATAGAGTATAAGAAATATAATAGATCCATAAATTTATATTATTTCTTCATCAATTTATACAATAAAATTAAAGGAGCATTTTAAAAAAATATAAGTGCTCCGAGTGGTACTTTTTAACACTAGTATAGATATCTATTTACTTTTGAACCCTTTGTTTTAAATAGTTAAATAAAAATTGTTTAAGTAGACAGATGATTATTATTTTAACTTTTGAAAATGTTGTTTAATTTATTATTTCACAAAAATCGAATGTCAAAATAGTCATTCACCAAGAGGGAGCAAGTCGAATACACAATAATTCCGTCCGATTTTGGGTCTATGCAATCTATGGCAGCTAGCAAAAGTTCCCTTTGCAATTTAGTGCATTTCCGTAACGAGATTTCATCCTGTATAAACAAATAAGTAATTTATAGAGTTTGGAACCGAACTGGAACCTTAGTTTAAAATATCAAGGAACCAATCTGGTATTAACAAGAGTTCAATTTAGAATGTTCAAATCTGAATTTCAAAATTGTTTATCAACAAAGTTCGGAAACGGAATCCCGAGATCAAATCTTTGAGACAGAAATCACTTTATTAAAAATATTTAGAGCTTAAACCATTATTGGCCCACTCTGTTTTATACACAACAAAGTTTATTGATAGGAAATAGGTATAATTTTGAAGTGGTAGTGTTTGAATAATTACATTTTATCAGAAAGATGCAAGCTCAGACCGGGTAATGGGTCGGGCCGTAAAGTTTTATTAAAAATAAGCCTGTCGACCCTAATTTTTTTGATATTAATAATCAGTTAGAATATTATATAATGGAGTATATAACTCAATAATTGATCAATCATTTTATGCCTGGCCAAAAAATGATTTTTATCCAAATCCGGGCTAGGCTTAACATCCATACCATTGCAGATTCTACATTTTATGGGGGAAATGATAACGGTTAAATTAAAATGCTAAATTTAATATTTCCCTAATAATATCATATTTAAATTCTTTAAATTAATTGTAAACCTTATTAATCTTCACAGATGAATCTTTACTAATGACTCCTGTTCCCATACAGGGGGCATCGACCAAGGCCCTATCAAAACCACGCATCACCTATTTAAATAATAATAACTATGTTGATAAGATATAATAAGAATTTTTATTATTGGTATAATAACATCGATTATTTCTATCTGTTTAAGTGTTGTAAAAAAAGTGGGATGGTGAGAGGATTTGGGTGGACCTCTCCCTCATGGAAAATATGATTAGGTAAAATTTTATATCTTAATACTTTTATATTGATATCTAAGTAGGGCTGTGCAGGTCCACAAATTTGTCACCGATCAGATATTATATTAATTTTTATGTACCATCTATCTTTGAACCAATATCATAAAAAAAAATCAATATTTTCTAATAAAAAATCCAACTAATTTTCACGAATGATCAAGTTATTTTTTATTCTCTAAAAATTAATTATCTCATTTATTGGTGTTATAGCTGAATCTAGTGCCGATTTTTAATAACGACTAAATTAATAGCCAAAATAATATTATCTAAGACTTTTCGCCAATAGATATCCAAACCTTTCTGTCATCTGTGAGCTAAGTCTCCAAACTTGGGTCATTTTATCTTGGCTAAATCTTATGTCGCTTTGAAAAATCGGATAAATCGAATCGTTTAACAGGGAATGTGACTCGCTAGATATGTTTAAACTCTTTTCTTGTTGCAGATAATATAACAAAATCAATTTACATTATCTATTAAAATAATTCGATTTTTTTAAAAAACTACTAATAAATGTTTTTAGTTATTTATTTCATAATTGTATATATAATTAAATAATTTTTTTTATTTTATACTGTTTTTGTACACTATTTTTTGTTATCTGCAATAAAAAAAGGATTCAAAAATATTCAACGAGTAACAAGCAGCTAGTTTTATTAAACAGCTCTAGCCAATTTTTAAAAACGGTTAATTCGAAATTTTGGCCACTAATCTAGCCTATTTATTTTGCCCATAGCAGAAAAGTTAAACATATTGGCGAAATTCCGTGACAGGTATAATATTTAGGCTAAAATCTTGATTTAGCACTTTTTAAAAATCGACTAAATAGAACTGTTTACAACACTACATTCACCTATAAACAATGCAAGTATTTAAAATGAGATTATTAACTTTTGTATAATAATAAAAAAATAAACTTGATCATTCGTGAAAGTTAGTTTTTTTTATAAAAATAGAAAATGATATTTTTATTATATTGGTTCAAAGATTGATGAAATAAAAATCAATATAAATATCGGATAGGTTTTTTAATAATATTGGATCGGTGTGATCAACACCTTTATTATGTATAAAATAAAAAATATTATATATACAAACACAAAATAATTAAAAACAATAAAATATCTGATCCGATATATTTCAAAAAGTTAAATATATGCCCTGATTTGATCCGCCCCAATATCTACACGAAAATATGATTTCATTTCTTTTAAATTAATAAAAACCCGATCCTTAATTTTCTAAAATATATCAAGAAATATATTCTTCTATTAAAGAAATTGCGTGAAAAAAAATAAACATTACTATAGACATATTTCATTTTATAATTAAATGTTCTCATAAAAAATGTGATATAAATTATATTAAAAAAACGGGACGCTTCCCAGAGACGCTATAATTCGTATGGGATCGGCGTTTTGCCCTTTCTACTTTTACTTGTAAAAGTGCTATAGTATTAGTACTACTTAATAAGCAAACGCTCAACTCGCTTGAGGGTAAAAAATAAACTAATTACAAATTTTTAATTTTACCCTAACCAAGCCATCTTATTTTGGCATCAAAATTTCCAAAGATGCCACCAGTCTATATGACTTTTTTATGCTGCTGCTACTAAATAAGAGTATCAAAGCTACAGCTAAACATCGAGTTTTATACTTATAATAAAAAGTTGATTTGTTATCACGATGATAGTAATTTATTTTAGATATTTCGTTTATTCAATTTTTTTTATAGTTGCATCTAGATTCTTCGTTCTATTTAAAATTTTAGTAATTTTTGAATAACCTTTATATATTTAGTGTTTATCAAACGTATTGAAGATAAAACTAAAATGTATATTAGCATTACATATTGGCCTAAGCTTAAGAACTAATGCTTTCATAAGTTTGACAAATTTCATGCTTAAGACTTCGTCTTAATATGAGTCAGATTCATATCAAATTACTATGTGATTTCAACTATTTTACATCTATTAAATAAACTGAAAAGAACAAATACTATTTAAAGAGATCAGAGTTATGAATCGAGGAAAAACAAACGAATGTATTTTTGAATCCGATATTTAAGACTCAGCCGATTTATTTAGTTTATAACTAGTTTTAGTTTATTGATTGATAAATTTGTAAATACTAATCAGGCATCACATATGGACATAAAGTGTTCTCGCATGATGTCAATAATTGAAGCATTAATGCATAGGTGTGCGTATCCAGGATTTTCCTACAGGAGGGGAAATACTATTAGGCGGGGTTTTCCGCCATAAAATTAGTAGGAGTCTTTGGGTCCATTGTAAGCCTTTGCGTTTATTAAATTTTAATAAAATAATTTTGGGGTTTCACTTATTTTTTTTATATAAATCCTTTTTTTCTAAAAATTCCAATTAAGGTCGTTAATAGTTATTACTTTTACTAATTCTTAATAAATTTGTATATAATTTTGTGGAAGAGGAGAGGAAAAGAGCGTAGGGAATTTTTTTTACTGAAAATGTTATTTTCGAGAAGAGGCAAATTTGCGATGGGGGAATTTATCCCTCCTACAGTTTCGCGCCTGTAAGTTTCAGAGGTAATGCTTGCAGTTGCAGATTGGTTAATTTAACGCTGTGATATATATTTTATTTAGCTTCTAATTAGGTTACTATATTGAGGGTGGGAAAATTGATTGAAGAATTTACTAATCAGGTAATAAATATTAGCGAAAACCAGACATCTATGCTTTAATATTTTCCCCCAACTTTAAACCTTCAGCCAACCGGATTAATGAATTGAAATATGCTAATAAAGCAGTACTTAATGGTTAACATACGTTTCAGAATTAGTTTTTCCAAAAGCTTAGCTCAATCCATGATTAAAATGTCTTTTTATAACTTGGTCATGGTTGGCAATACTAATTGAAGAATTACTAATCAGACAAGACACTAAATATTGGCGGATAGCAGAAATTTTGTGTTTCTAAATTTTCCATTCTGGTATTTTTTTTCTTTATCCTAACTAGTATCTACCAAATGGATTAAAATAATTTACTAATTAACAAAGTTGTTAAAATCTAAATACAAAAATGTGGTATATGTATCTAGATATGCCTTTATTAAAAGTACCTGTATCTAGTAAATTTATCTGTACCTATTTTAGATGTTTGAAATAATTTAATTATATATTTTGTGTAGAGATGAGATATCAATAGGCATTATGTACACCTTACATAATTATAATAGTATCTTGCGAGATATTGTATATATATTAAGATACTTTTGTAAAAATAATATCTGTATACATTCTTGGACGATGTACGATATATTTATCTAGATCCATTTAAAAGTATCGTTTACAAATTTTGCTAATTAAGCAACAACATTGATAATATTTTCATTTTCAAAACAAATGCTTTAAGTTGATTTTTAATCGTAAGTTTGGACAAAATTTTGCTAATAAAATATTTTTTTTATTATTTCTAGGATTTTCAAATTTTTCAATAACGCTATAAGTTTAATTTTTCGTTCTGTGGAAGTTTTATTCATGACCATTGAAGCTTGAATACTGGATGTAAAATTGCAGAAAGAACATATTGATCTTCATATATATATGTTCAAATCTATTAAAAAAAATAAAATATTAATGAGTGATAGGTTTAATACCTTTTATTAATCCCATTTAATACGGCATCTATCAATGGTTGACCATATTTGAGGCTACTAATTTTTTATAATTTTAAAATAACTATCGTTATTATTGGGGTCAAATATCCCAAATGCATTTTTTCTTTAAATTTAATGATTTTACTTAGTTATATTATATTATATAAAATAATTAATATTACAATCAAATGTCGTTTTAAATTGGAACCTGAGGATTTTGACAATATAATACTTTTTGGCCATATTTTACATTTGGTAAGCATTGAATTAGTTCCTTCAATATAGGATATTACTGTAAAACATTTATCATATTTGGCCATGGTAATGATAATTCATCTGATTTTGGATTTTCAGAATCAGATGATGAGGATTAAATAATAATATTCATGCTTATGCTAATCTATTAAATTAAAATATAAACAATAATACTAAAATTAATAAACTATGTGTTAAAAAAATTGAAATGTGAAAAGGAAATACACAGCCGATTAAAAAAATATAAATAATACTTTTTTTTAAAAAAATTTGGAAATATTAAATTTTTCAAATAAATAAAAAGTATTTTTAAAATTGAAACGAACGTTAAATTCGAACGCGTTCGTCATAAAAAAAGAACTTCGTTCACGAACGCGTTCGTTTACAACACTAATTTTGTCCTAATTGGCGTTTTTAATATTGTATTGGGATATATATTTTTTTTTTGTAAATTCATTATATGTATTTTTATTACGCGGAATAATCCGGTTTGTTAACCTTAGCGCATTGGTTTGTTTTGGGAATGTAAGACTCACAATGAGTCGTGTTATTCGGATTTGTAAGAATTATTCTTTTATTCATTTTATTTTCATCTATAAAATAGCCGTTTTTGGCAAATTAAAGAGAATTATTTTTTTGTGGGAAATTCAATAAAATTATTATATTCGGAGTTTTGCTTTCTATTCTGCCCAGACTTGTTACGGCACAACGTAATAATTGGTGCCGTGATCAAACAAATAAAAAGTTAGTTTTTTTTATATTTATATATAATTTTTTTTTAGGTAATAAAAAGGAAAAACTTAACATTTGTTAAGGGCACAGTGGATTAACTGTGGTATTGAATTTATATTTTAAAGGCACAGGGGTTCTGTGGAATATTTATTTTTTTTGAGAAAAATCGGTAGAGTACCGGGATTGTTGTTAATAGAGATAGGAAAAA